AAAGAAGTGGAAAGCAGGGACAAAGTTGTTGTGGAAGAGGACGCCAGGGCGGGAGAAGCTTGGTTTGGTGTAGAAGGCTTCCAGCCGTACATGTTTGAGCCCTTGCCTCGCAACGCTGCCAGTTCTGTTAGCTCTACGCCTGCTGAAGACACAGACGTCCATCCCTGTGAACACTGGGACGGAACTCCTTCTTATTCCTTATTTCAACCGTTGCGTATTTTACCTGCAACAAGGAATCAAGATGCTATCATCGAAAAAAATTTGATTAACAGATGACCGTTGATATATGATTGGCTAAATTTAGGTGTACAAGCTGACGTATAACTAACTGACCTGCATAAGATAACAAGAATAAAACCTACTAATTTTAAGACAGGATTTTTTTTAAACATACATTTTCTAAATTTTGGGACAGTATCATCTGATAAAGAGTACATCTATATACATGTTTAAGCCAGAATAATTTGACATTTAAATATGTTTTCTCTGCGACTTTAAGTGTCATTAACGAATTGAGATAATCGGATCGAGCCTTAGAAGGAGACATTGAAGTTTAGTTGGCTTCCATCTTCTTCTTGTGTTTAATGCCATTTGACAAGCAGCTTCTGGCCCATTATCACCGCCAACTGAAGTAGAATATTGATCGGGATTCAAATAGTTCTACAACAATAAAAATAAAATAGAACTACGCCCTCTTTATTATATTAGTCATTTTAAGGTATCTGATTAATAAATAATGAACCTTTGATGTAAAGTCTTTGTCTAAAAGGTATTTTTATGTTCAGGTGTAATTTGTTGGCTTCTGATCTACATACCAGTTCATTTCTCTGAGCTGCATATCTAGTGCAAGACAAAAAACATGTTTATTTAGTTTGCCCTGCCTGAACTGAATAAGTTCTTTTAATTTGGAAAGAAGGATGTGAACCATCCTTCTGAGCTGCTGGTCTCCCAGCGCTGCCTGGGACTCCATGGCTCCCGAACCTCACAGATCTTTTAGTAAAGATACACACATCGAGGCTCCAGGGATCTTCTAACACCACACTCCAGTTTGCATGTATGAATTATCACACTCCATTCGATCAGCGGCCTTATTGGACTTAATTCAAAGCCAGTTTGAGCAGTTTGCTTTGATCCAATTAAAGGCTCATCCAGACCTCTAACGAGATTTACAGAATGAAACAATAATAGAATCACACATCCACTGGATCTGAGTGTTGATCTCTTCCTGGTGTGTTCTTCCTCTGATTGGACACATGGGACTGTGAACACATGGACCATCACCGTCCCCCAGGGTTTTGATGTTCAGCAGGAGCATCTGGCAACACCACAGCAGTCCACAGTGGAAACATAGAAAAACAGCCTTTCAACTGCCGTTTTAATGTGCTTATAATTCACATTGTTTATTTTCTGTCCTCATTAGGAGGAGCAAATAAAATGTGGAAAGGCTTCGAAAGATTCGTTTTAAAAAAGATCTCATGTGATCTGGTCTGAATGTGGATGAAGTGGGATCTCCATGGTGACCAGTGATGACTGGCCGGGTATCAGGAGTGGAGTAAGATGATATTAGAGCATCTGATTCTCATTTAGCGGGTTTTTCTTTTCAGTATTTTAACAAATCAGCACATGGGACATTTCTACTACTCACATCAAGGCTAGGTGAACGATCTGACTTCCTGGCTTTCAGCAGACTCATAATCTGACTCCAGTAAATCTCCATAAGGAGCTGAAAATGCTGCCTAACCTCTCTATGAGGCGTTATTACAACTATCTTCCAATCTCTGGGACCTTTAGAGAATTTAAAGCAGGTCAGAAAATCTAGATAAGATCCAGATCGAAGCAGTCGCTCTAAGTGTCCTAGCCTGATGTCTTTGTAATGAATATTATAAGAACCAATTATCTGTTACTTTAGTGATTAAGATACCCTATCTTTGCTCCTCTTTTCAGATTTATTATGTTATCAACTGTACATTTTGTTTTGGCTATTGTTTCGTGAAGACTTTAAGCAAGTTGGATTCATCTGTAAAATCATTGAAAATTACTTTAGATACCATTTGTTGCGAAGAACATTTGATTTTTGCTTTGGTGAATAAGCGTCTGATGACATCACATAAAGCAAAGGAAAACTGATTAGAGTTCCCTTTATTATGATCACTGGTTTCCATCTTTCTTTCCCCACTTTATACACTTTTTAGATTATATTCCTCTTTCAAATGTAATATTATTAACTGGGTCTACAATGCTACGAATACCTGCTTTTTACAGCCTCTCTTGTGTCTATTGTGATGTCATCAGTCCAAATGTAAAGTATTTACTTCTTCAGTCTGATGTGTAAAACCATGAAACGCCCTACAGTGTTTTATATTAGCAAAGATCAGTGGATGTTTCTTTATAAATGAATAATGATGACGACTCAAACTGATCCAGATCTGGTTCTGTTCTATGATTCTTTCAGAAGCTGAAGAAACCCAGCTATGCTGAGATCTGCAAGAATGCTGCGACCAATTATGCAGTGCCGCCTGCTGACTCCGCCCCCCAAGCAGAGAACCAGCTGTCTGAGCACCCTCTGTCTCTGATGGATTGAGAACAAAAAAATGTGAGGGCAGCCGCTGTTTGGAACTTGAGATTTGAGCTAAGCGCTCTGAAAACTGCTGAGATGAAATTGATTCCATTTTAAACAGTTCAAATTTTAACTTTCCTCTGAAGTTTTTTCCATTTTTTTTTCTCTTGTTTGGTTGTTGTTGTAAATAAGCCAGATGTTATTTATGGTTTATTGTGATGGTTTTCTGTTTTTGGATGCCGGACCTCTGGTTCTGACAGAATTTGTGTTTTTCATTCTGAGTTGTTCTGTAGATCCACTGTGTGCACAGACCAATCAGACCCTTTCCATGTTCAGAGGCTCCTTAATGAATAAACGCAACTGTAAAGCCTCAGCGTACTGTACTTATATATAGTGCATTTACAGGTCAGAGGACTTGACCAAAGTGCTCTACACTACATTCACTCACACACTGATGGTGGCGAGCTACATTATACGTAGCCACAGCTGCCCTGGGGCTCACTGACAGAAGCATGGCTGCCATACGCTGTTGCCACCAGGCCCTCTGACCACCATCATGATGAAGGAGTTTTCTCTTCACTTGCAATGTGGGTTAAGCGTCTTTCCCAATGACATGACATTGAAAGCCGGAGCCAGGGCTTTAACCGACAACCCTCTGGTTAGTGGGCAAACTCCCACACCCCATAAAGAACTGCAACTAAGAACATTTCTTTATGTATTCTTTTACTGTTTTACACTGGAAAAACAATCTCGAAATAAGTAAACATTTCTTAAATTAAGTGTAT